TTTAGTATGTCAGTTGTATTGATAAAATTTAAAAGTATACCTATCAATCCTAGGACTTTTACTAAAGTCGAACGACCTAAGAAACTTACAGACTTTATATTTGTTAAAATATCTAATGAACTCAAAACCTTGATCATTAAGAATACTATTCATATTAGGCTAAAGGGATTTAGAATTAAAATAAAAAAGGGCTTATTCATATCCTCACCATAAAATTGAGAATAAAAGAAGATGAATTTATGAGAGACAATTTCAGGTTCATAAGTACACTAATGGTAATGTTATGAATGAAATTCTACTTATATCTATCAATAATTAAATTATGATAAAATCTCATATCCCTATCCTCGTTCTGAATCTATCTAAACTTGATCTTGACCCAAGTCTTTAGGTTAACATACCTAGTAAGAGTCTGAATGTGATTATAAAGGGATCCCAACTCTATAATATCCTTGTTTAAGATAATAGCAATGGCATCTAGAAGCTCTAACTTATTAATATCAACTTTGTCATTAATATCACCCAAAGTATTCTAATTCCACTTAGACGAGACTCCTCTCAAGTAATAAAGGTTATTAAATAGAGAAAGCATCTAAATGTACCAAATATGATAGTAATTTTGCAATGAGTTACTAATAGAAAATATATTTTTCTAATATATTTTCTTTCCGATATTTCAAGCAATGACTATAAATAAATGGAACAATTATGTTGTTTAACCTTGTCTTTCTTAATATTTTTAAATATTTTGTATTTGAAAATAAAATATATAAACCTTATACTATATAAGATCATTGGACAAACACAAAATGATGGTGATTGAAGTATCTAATAATATGAGAATCCATTTGAGAAGCCAAACTCAAAAGAGGTAATGTTGAACATAAAGGTATTTATGTAGTTGTTAATATAAGAAAATTCAATAATATGCTTTTGTCCTATATCAATTTGTGTTGGATTGGGAAGAAGGAAGAAGAGGAAGCAGTGAAGGAGAAAGAAGAAAGAAGATGGATCAAAGGAGGGAGGATGAAGAAAAAGATAAAGCGGTGAAAGAGGAGGAAGAGGAGACAAAGTAGTGAGAAAGGACATGAAGAAAGAAGAGGAGAATGATAAGAAGAAAGTATATACCAAAGAGAGAAATGATGGCTAATGGGTGAGCACCATCCAATTGCAACAACATAATGAGAAATATGGTGATTCTAAGGTTTTCATATATAATCTAGATTAGACCACTTAAAACAAGAGCAATTCGCATACCGATCCACATCTAGACTAGTACGCATAACATGTTTTATACCATTTCAGGTGGTATAATGATTTTTACTACATATGTAATTTTGTTTGATGGATTTTACCTTCAATCATTTTATTTTAGAAAATCAAAATCTTGCCTAAAAAGAAAATCTTACTTCGATAAGCTCTAGTTAGTTTCATATGATCATCTCTTTTCCTCTTTTCTAGGTGTTCATATTATGATAAAAATAATATTATTTGTAATATAAAAGAATATCAATAATCACAAAACTTTTTTTTAAGATATATATTAATGGGAGTAAATGTACTCATAGAAGCTTGCAATCAGCTTTGTACAACAAAAACTACTACATGGCTTATTATATCTTTTCATAAGACATTCTAATTTTAGTGCTTATTATATCACTTTATAAAGCATCCTAGTTTTAATTTAATGATCATTTGTAATAAAGAATTCTGGAAATGATATTTTTCTATTTTTATTTAATAATAATACTCTTATATCTATCTCCCCCAAAACCTCGTTCACAAATTAT